ATGACAAGAATGCAGCGTGAATTTGGCGATACCGTGATGGCGCCAATACCTAAAGTAAACTCTGGTTATAGTTCAAACAAGACTATAAGTGCCTCCCCAAATACGATTCCCGGATCTTCTAATGGTTATAGAGCTGCATCTCCCATGGCAAATTATAATCCCGGTGAGGCAATATTCAATTCTCTTGCTAGTGACAAGAAACACATCAGTGCATCTGTTGTGGGTGCCAAGTTGCAAAAACGTTTGAGTAGTAGTTTGGCCAAATAGTAGCTTGGAGAAAAATTAGATTATTGTCATTTTCTTTTTTCGCTTTTTTTCTTTCTACCTTTTTTCTCTTTTCGTGCTTATTTTAAGTACCTAATTTTGACATACCTATTCTTTATGTGTTATATATGCATCATATACCTAATTATTGCCTTTTTAGATCATTTTAGTTATTTAGTCAATCAAAACAAAAGATATTAATTACATCATGTGTTTAATGGTGTTATTGGGTAAGATTAAACAAAACTGGTAGTTTTTTTAAGTCTGTACTAGAATCCTTTTTCGAAGATATATCAAGGGTGTTTTTTTGTGCGACTCGGACTATTCTCCCATATACAAAATATCGGTTTTTCTTTTCTTCTGTGATAGACATATGGGTTAAAAACAACAGAGACGAATGAAGTTTTCTTTCTGTTATTCATTCTCATTATACATCATTACAAAAAAAAAATCATGCCCAGCCTGGAATCTCCAATTGGTCTTACCTCTTCTGTCTCTTTTGTAGGAAATAAGTCACTTTCTCAAGTGTGTTCGGCCACCAAAAATGATCATAAAAGACAAGTATCTATATCTAAAAGGCATAAACTTTTAGAAATATTAAAAAAGACTGAAAATAATAGGGTAAATTCAACGGACCCGTCTCCTGGGAGTCAATATTACCTTTTTAAAAACCTGAGCGAAGCTACGTTTATCACGAAATACATGATGCCAAAAGTGACGGATAACTCAGCCGCTATGAAAAAAACAGACTTTTTATGTTCAAAAGGATTAACTTCTACCTATTCACCGGAGTGGAGGAACGTTCCTTCGGATAATGTCCCTCATTCTTGCAAGAAGGAATGGCAAGCGGCCCGATATAAAAAGATGAAAGAGGCAATAAATAGGCGCGCCGCTAGCTGGTAAAGCCAAGAGCGTATATTGTAAAAACATGAAGGAGCAGTTTTATCAACAATCAAGAATGAAACACATATAAAACGCCTTTGTTTAGGTCAGATATAGGCGGTTAAATAAATATAATCACCTCCAGTTTATTATATTAGAGTGAAACACCACACATTTTATTTAAACCTCATACAAAAACTATTCAGAGGTTCGGGATCTAAATTTTTCATGCGATTTGTTAAGTTTCTCCTCTAAACTTTTCTAGAAATGCAGCTATGAACATGAGGTATTTATTTATGGTAGATTTTTCCTCTTAAATATTAATAAAAATCAGAGATGATTTTGGTAGTGTCCCTCTCAACTATAAAACCTTAAAAAAGGTATGTTAATCAGATTCTCAGATTTTCGTTTGTATAATTACAAAACATCAATAACTCATGTCTGCGGCCATATCCACTGGAAAGCACGATTTCCCGTCCGATCAATCATAGTTAAGCCAGTGAGAGCCTTCATAAGTACTACGGTGGGAGACCACGTGGGAACATAAGGTGCTGCAGTCTCTTTTTTCCGAGTTTTTACATTACAAGAATGTCGTTAATAAGGAAAAGCCTTCAATATCTTTTCAACAAAAAGAGGCGAATTATTTTTCTTGATTTGAAATAATCCCTTTTGCTTTCTAGATATGTCTAGATCATTTTGTTTTTTAGGTGTACTCTGACTGAATTAAATTTTTGATTGGATGGGTTTGGTTTTTTGTAGCTACAAACAAAAGCCAAATCCATATAAAACTTATTATCATAGTAATCAAGAATAAACATCAAAACTGTTGATACTGATGCTATAGAAGTTATGAATAATTTCTAAAACATCAGTTAGTATTATCAGTATTATCAGTAAGCCAAATTAGTAAAATGCGTGAATCATTTTCTAGAAGCTAAAAAAATACATAGCAGCCTATAGTTTTATGATATCCGTTTCGAGGGCCACGTGGTAAAATGGTTCTTTCAAATGAACCTTTGAAAAGTTTTAATACTAACTATTGTTTTTTTTCATGTAACCTTGTGTAAGTTTTTTAATCAAGTACTATGGCTATATGGGGAAATCCCGAAGTCTAGTTTACAGTTCGCAGATAGCCGCAAGCTACGACACATTAATTGACAATTTTTTGTAAGAGGAGATATCTGGCATTTATTAATAAAATAAGCACCTAAATTAATGATTCACAACGTAATAACCGATACTTTTTCTATTAAACGTTGGATAATATGATCTATCTTGTTTATCAGCTCTCCTACAACTAATGAGTCTTTGTCTTCACAGACGCATAGAACTAATGACAAGGCCCCCCCCTTTCCGTTCGTCACTGAGGTAAGTTTATAGGGCGCGCCAATAGCCCCAGTTGATTGTGAAATTCTAAGTCGTGATACTGAGTATTCGCTGCCATTAGTTTCTGGTTTACTTATAACCCCCAAATTTGAAATTTCTAGTGAATCTCCCCGCACTTGACCTAGTCTAGATAGCACATAGGAAGTCACACTTGGTATGAGAGACAGCATACCAATACTTTCTAAAGCCGACGGGGGTGATGGTTTTGTATTCGAATTCAAAGGAATGGTAAGCTGTGAACGAAGCTGTGACTGGAAATCTAACGCATGGACCCAGAAAGCCTCAGAACCAGCCTCAACCCCTGAAAGGTCTACCATCATCGTTGATGTGGCATTTCCTACGTAATTTCCTATAATCTCGTTAGTGTTGATAGTTTCTGTTTTAAAGTAGCGCCGAGCGTTAATAGGGCATTGTCCAATGATTTTCGCCTTTTTACTGCCTTCCTGGTTAAGAGTTATCTCGGGGCAGTGCTTACGAATCTCGTTGTCAAGCGCGCTGAGCAGAATCACATAAAGTAAGCTTGTTACAGATACCCCGCGAGTTTTTGCAAGAGTTACCATCTTATTTGAGACCTCCTCATTAAGGTCCAGATAGTCATAAGAGCCAACCCACTTGCATGTTACTGGTACTGAGTCGTCATTAGTGTGCACAGCTCCGGGTACAGGCGCACCAGTGAAGACGTAATCACGACCATAGCCACTGAACGATAATAACTCTTTCTTTATAAAATTAAAAATTTCACCAGAAACTATCCCCAAAGCCCGCCATACTGACGGAATTGTGGGAGCAAGTTCTTCTAAAGGAGGTGGAATAATGGATTTCATACCTTCGATACTCACCTCGAAAACAGGCAGGGTAAGCACATTGCAATTAAGAGCAGGCGAATTCTGGTTCAACGCGGTAGTCAATTTCTGTAAAATAAAAGCACCGCTTGAGCCATCGAAGCAACTATGATCAAAAATGAAGGCAAGCTCTTTTTGTCCCATGACAACAATCTTCCACAATGGAGTCTCATTAGCATAAACAAACTTCTCAGAGTGGAATGAGGTTAATAGGTTGCGCGACATGCTATCATCCACAAAAGCTACTGTCTGATCTAAGTCAATCTTAGCCAAGGGCCGAAAATAAGGTATTTCATCCGAATCATAGTCTATATCGACGCGTAAAAAAGGCTCTTTAGCCACAACTTGGCCCAAAGCCGCATACAAGCCTTCCTTGTTTAAAGGTTTGCTAAATGTGGCAGTAACTAATACCGTGGTATAAAGATCATGATGATTGCGAACTTGCGAGTAAAATTCTAATCCTCCTAGATAGCGTTTTTTTAGAGTAGTGCTCATTTTCCTACTTTCTGGATAAGATGGTAGTGTATACAAGAGGTGGATTACGCAGTTCAATTGAGAAGTTGGTTGGGTAGAGGATGGCTTGGGCCAATAATAGTGCTTCACCACATCATGGGGCTATAACTGGGCTGGGCAAGAAATTGTTTCATCACTAGCCCCGAAATTAATAAGAACAGAATAAAATCAAGAAATAAGAAACAAAATCTCCTAGTAGTATAAAATATCTAAATCAGGAATGCCTAATATATAAAATTCAACGTATTCTCTGAGTAGTATTGAAATAATAAAATGTGTACGTGTAAAAAACACATACAATGTCTGCGGCCATATCCACTGGAAAGCACGATTTCCCGTCCGATCAATCATAGTTAAGCCAGTGAGAGCCTTCATAAGTACTACGGTGGGAGACCACGTGGGAACATAAGGTGCTGCAGTCTTTTTGAAAACGTTTCTTTTATATCCAATTTTTAAAAAACCCAAATCCAGGTGAAAAGAATTCTAATTTTGATGGCTCCATTTTTTCATAACTATTTATTTGGCTTCAAAATGTAAACATTCCATTTAGGATCAGAAGTAGAATAACGGCTTCAGTTTTCAGTTATATTTTAATCAAGAAATCCTAGTGCTCTCTATATATAAAGTTATTCGATGGCGATGGCACACGCAATCAATAAAGGATTCAAGTGCAGGGCATTGAATAACGAAGAGGCTAAATCAGAACACCCTAAAGATACATTGGCCACTATAATTTTTATCTATTCCACAGAATCTATCATCCATAATTTTTGAGGTATTTCAAAAATAATAAAGAAAAATATCCAGATGCGGGATACTTTCTCCTTTTTGGGTGAAAATGGTCTAGTTGTGCACGAAACGATTTGCTATAGTAAAAATCGATAGTTCATTTGGAGATGGGCGTCTGCTCAAATTCCATTTTATTGTATGTAATAATTTTTTCTGGCTAAACCTGAATTCAGTAAGGTTTTTGATTGGAAAAGACCTGAGAGTAAAGTCGTGTACTTTAAATCTGTCAAAAAAACTGCTCAAAGACGCCTGATAGTACGTGTGGCCAACTTTTATAAAACCGTTTATATATAGCACTTTTAATTGGAATTTATAATAGCTTATGGATGGGTGGCCGAGTGGTTTAAGGCGCCAGGTTTAGGTCACAACCTAAATTCAAATATTCGATGTGCAAGCATTGATAAAACCCCTGGTATCTTCGGATGCGCGAGTTCGAATCTCGCCTCATTCATTTTTTTTTTTAAAAATCCTGTAAGGAGAGTAGTTCCCAATTTACAGGGGCGACTAATAGGGCCGACCCAAAAGTTCAAGTTATCACAACCAGCAATAAATTCGGGGTTTTTTTTGTTTCTTTCTAAGACGTAACTATTTAAATTCATTTCTTTGAAAAAAAAAAAAATAGATTCTAAACCACTGGTTGGATTATTGCAAGTAACTACTACAATACATATTTTTGTGATAGCTGTTATCCGCCCTGTGAAGGCTGTAGATAGTGTTGCAATACTCTTATATTAACCTACAATATTGGTAATTAACCCGAAACAGCAGCAATCTTGGTCAATTCCAAAGGATTATGTTTTTCTCAGCTTTCTGTATATCCTGTTTAACTAAATGCAACACTAGAGGGAAAGCAAAATAAAGAGAAAGCGTTAAATCGGTGTAGATATTAGATTTTTACTATCGAAACACAATAACTTAAAAGTGAGAATCCCCGATTTTACAGTGTTAAAAGTAAACGCCCTCTACCTTTAGCAATAAAAGTGTTTCAAATCCTCGTATTAGACAATAGCCGTGCAAGCTATTAATTTAATGACGCAATTCAAGTGTAGCCGGGATGGGGCTAGCATTCATTGTCCTTGAACAAAACAAAAAAGAAGAAAAAAAAAGAGCGATCTGCGTTGTTTCTTGTATATTTTCATTTGCCTCTATTGTCTTTTTGAATGTACACAGTTTTCAGCTGGCCGGTTCATACAAGCGCCTCGCTGAATAGTTAATTCAGGCTTACTTTCACCATTCTTTACGGCACCAAGGATCGATCATTGCTTTCAGCCTCGTAAACGACGATGCCCATAAGCGGCCACCAATGGGCGGCTGAATCACCGAATTGCCTTGAGAATACCGGGTTGTGAGAGGCCCAGATGTTGACCATTCATGAGGTTCTTAGGAAGGTGCGTATTCCACAAAGTCCAATTCTTTCACGTGATTATTAACTCTCCTAACAAATAGCCAATTAGGCGGTGGTGGAAGTTAGCACGTGAATAAATGGTGGTCCCTGCGGAGGTTTTCCAGTTTAAACGGCTGAGATCTTGAATGACTAAAGGTTCAAGCCAGGGCTAATGCAGATCTTACGGAAAACAAGCCTCTTTTCTTTTAAAAATACGAATAGCCAATAAATGTTATTTCATGGATCTTGCTAGATCCGTTCACGGAGAGATGCGGCACCAAATTCTTGTAGGTAACTAATGGTTAACCCCCACTTATCGAGTGATCGTCATAGGATTTTCCAAAAGAAATAAAATGTAAATTTATAAATACCAGACGGATGCTGCTTGCCGCCTATTAGATACGAATCTTCTTACTTTTCTAAAAGACCTCTAATCCCGTTTTTAACTGCCACGCTATTGAAACTTTGAGACTTGTTTCCCTCCATCATATTTAGCTTCTCTCTTGAGTCTATTTCTTTATCCGAGATTATTTTTCCGAGCTCATAAAAAATACAAACTTCTTCAACATGGGGCTATTTCAAAGACACCTACAAATGGTGCGAGACGAAATGCATCTTCCATGGGAGCATAAAAACGAAATCGACGAAAGCGATTTAGATGCACAGACCAGAGACCAAGACGAAAACTACAATGTGACTCAAAAAACCCGAGGCGAAAAGCTTTGGCCTGTAGTAGCTGCCGGTGCCGGTCTATTCTCCGATGGTTACGTTAATAATTCTATCGGTACCGCCAGTACTTGTCTCAAAATTCTTTACCCTAAAGAGTACGCCAATTCCCCAGCTCAATCGAACGTCGCCTCTATTGCTTTCGCTGGTACAGTCTTAGGTCAGTTAGTCTTTGGCTACGTTGCTGATTACCACTCCCGTAAAATTGGTATGCTGATTTCCATGTCGATCCTGGTCTTGTTTACAATTCTGGCTTCAGGCGCATGGGGCGCTGGCGGGTCCATTTCTGGTATGTTGGCCGCTTTAACTGTTTATCGATTCTTTATCGGTATCGGGATTGGTGGTGAATATCCTGCTGGTTCAGTTGCTTGTGCTGAAGCTTCTGCTATTATTACCAAGGGTTCTCGTAATAGATACTTTATCCTTTTCACAAATTTCATGATCGATTGGGGTTTTGTTATTAGTGCTTTTGTTCCTCTTGTATGCTTATGGATTTTTGGTAAAGATAACTTGAACCCAGTATGGAGATTGACCATTGGTCTTGGTGCAATTCCACCTCTTTCATTATTCTATCTTCGTTTCAAGTTTGAAGAACCTGAACAATTCGAAAAACTCAACATGAAAAAGGCCAAGGTGCCCTATACTCTTATTATCAAATATTACTGGTGGCGCTTGACTGTGGTCTCTACCATTTGGTTTATTTATGATTTTAGTGTGTATGCGTTTGGTATTTACTCTTCAACTATTTTAAATCGTATTATCCCAGACCATGATATTTACAAAACTTTCGGTTGGAACGTGGTAATGAATTTTTTCTATATTCCTGGTTCATTTTTGGGCGCCTTTGCTTCTGATAATTTCGGACCTAGAACTACTCTTGTGGTTGGTCTCTTATGCCAATCAGTCATGGGCTTCTTCATGGCTGGTTTCTACGGTACCCTTGAAAAGAATGTTGCTGCTTTTACCGTAATTTACGGTATTTTCTTATCCTTTGGTGAATTTGGTCCTGGTAATAACAGTGGTTTACTCGCTGCTAAATCATCTGCTACTCCTGTCAGAGGTCAATTCTACGGTCTTGCGGCCGCTATTGCCAAAGTTGGTGCCTTTATTGGTACCTATATTTTCCCTATCATTATCAAGAACGCGGGAGGTGAAGACACTGTCAAAGGTAATCAAGCCCCATTCTGGGTTGCTGGTGCCCTTTGTATTTTTAGTGCTTTTGTTGCCTTCTTCTTATTGCCTCCATTGGGTCAAGATGCTCTTGATAAAGAAGACGTTGATTTCTGTGAATACTTGGCTGCTAACGGGTATAGTGTCAGTCAATTAGGGTCGGTAAGCTCCACCAAAGAATCCATTGGTTCTAATGGTGATGATTCGGCTGAAAGCGAATCCAAGGGACCAATGTCTACGGTTTTTACCAAGGCTTAAATGAAATCAAATAGATTTTTTGTGCTTATTAGTCTCTTTTGACGACTCTTGCATCTTGTATAATATTTACCTTTATCCTTTCGTTATCTTCATAATAAATCACTAATAAATAAAAAAATTCGATTGAAAATCTTTGCTTTAAAAGAAAGAAAAATGAAAAAAGCTAAAATACAAAAGACCCGTAAAACACGGAAACCATAAATAAAAAAGTATAGTCTAAAAGAATAAGAAAAGTATAAAAAGAATGAAAAGAACTGTAAAATCAGGGTATTAAAAATTTATGAGGGCACTAAAGTAATTTCAGCTCAAGTCCGTTCAATTCGTAATATCTCAACGGCCAATATACTTTAATTCCCAGAATCTAAGTAAATTATAACCGATAGCAGAAAAACAGAAACATAATTCGAAACTGATATCACCGCCATTATCGATCATTTTGGCGATAGGGCCGATCCACCAAACTTGAGACATACCCACCGCAGCGCCGGCACAACTGCAAGCGAAAGCGAACAATGCAGAAATAGATATGGGTAAAACATCAGGATCTTCCCAAGATTCGATCTCGTAATTCTCAAGCTTACCCTTTCTGTAGATGGAATGCTCAGATAAAGAAATACTTTGGTAAATGGCTAACCAGTATCCAATCAAATTCATCAAGTTATCCATGAACTGCTCGAATTTGTAATAAGCGCGAATAGCTATAGCAATGAAAATACAGTTACCAACAACAGTCTACACGACACGGGGGATAGATCTAAATTTACTCCAGACAGTTTGAGTAGAAAGGGCAATGGAGTGCATATTAGGGACATTGTTTGCAACAGTGGAAAGTGAAAGAACAATCACACAAAACTAGCCGAAACCATGGAGAAATTTTGGTACAACAATACCAAAAATAGTATAATCAGCGGCATATGATGATCAGCCGGTAGCAAAGCCAAAAATGGCACCACCAAAGGAAAGAAAATTACCTACTTCAACAGGACCAGTTTTTATAATTAATGTTTTCCCAGAAGGACTTGGCCAATCGGTCAATAATAACTAAGAAAACGGCTAAATTGGGGATCCAAGGCCACTTTTCATACAAGTTTACGAACCTGTATCCAAAGAAAAAAACGATAATAGTGGCAAAGGTGATAACAATCACACCACCCCAGGGAGGGAGACCTCCATTGTTGACTGTGTATAGCATTTGAGCAGAGGCAATGGCGTTAATAGCCGACCAGCCAACACAAGCAATACAATTAAGTAGGGCACAGAGTCTGACCCCCTGATAACCCCACCAAAAATGGGACAGAGCCACCTGTCTTAGACCAAATTCGGGGCCGAAACAAGAGTAAAAGGCCACTGGAATGACACTTATAAAACCGAAAAGGACAATACAAATAACATAATCCCAAAACACCAAGTCAAATAGAGATACCCAGAGTTCCTAGGGAAAAATTAACCACCACCATATTAACAGCAAACCACATTGAAGCAGCATTTCACAGGGAAGTATCGGTCTGTTCTTCTTCGGGGACACGACCAATACTTCTCATTTCAGTGTTGAGAAAAGTCCCAAATTCCGCAAACTTGCTCCAAATGTACTTTGTACACAAAAGTTTGGTGGTAGGCGCAATGGCCACCTCAGATCTATTATAGATATCTAATGGTTCATCAAAAGAAATGATTTCGTATTTTTCCGCAGACATGGTGAATGTACTTCTTATATTTACTACTTATATGAATTAAATATGATGATTTTTTAGACCAAAAAAAAAAGAATAGGCCTATGTGGGTGATTAATCTTTGTTTTGGTTTCTTTTTTTTTGCACGAATATATTTTTTTTCCCTTGATACGAAAATCAATCGACTTTATAGGCACGACGAAAGAAAAATTAAGATGATGGTTTTAACCAGGATAGGAAACA